TGTTACTGTCAGAATATTCAATCTTCTCATARATAACGAAGAAGTTGTTTTGTTGCTTTTTCCTGTTGCTCTAATCAAATTGATAAGCTGGCTAGAAAAATCCTGTGGTATTTTTTTAGAAGAGCTGCACAATTGCCAGCCACAGTAGAGCATGTAGYTTGAGGTAACAGAAACAGTAAGTGCTTCTCTTAAAACTGAATGTTCTAGAGCTCTACTTAGTGATTAATCAGAATCTARCAGGCAATATAATCTAATCAAATTAAGGAACAGTAGATAAGTTCATGGTGTGACTTGCTTTTCAAGCACTGAGAATTGCTTAGACCAAGTAGAAGAAGAGAAAGAAGTGGTGTACGACTGAGACTATATCAAACATTACTACCAAAGCAGAACCAGGGAAGAGAGGTGTGAGAAAGATGGACCTCCACATGCTCTGTTAAGGTGGAAGACAAGTTCAACCAGAGAAGTTTACTTTTCCCTCTTTACAGAAGGCTCTTGTATGTCTTTCAATACAACTGATAACCAAGAAAGAGGTCCTTCTAAAGACTTGAGCTCTTTGCTAAAGTACTTTTTGCTGTCTTATATCAGAAAGACCTTCTTAGTTGGAGCTATCGTTTCATTTAAAAAAAACCAAAACCAACCTGTTTTCTATAATGTAACAAATACAAACTGTGTGAAAGAGATGGAAAATAGGCCCTGTAATTTTGTCATGTGATAAAATAGGTTGTTAGTAAAGGTATTATGCCTTGTCAGTGCTTTCACATTAAAAATCAATATCTGTTCAAATGAAACTGTACTCAAAGAAATCAAAGTTAGCCCTTTTACTTCATGCAGAGCAAGATACTCCCTGTCCCTTCTGTATAAGGTACTGCTTACTTGGACATGTTAATTGCTTGTGAAGCAAATACGAACCTTTTAACAACTGTCTCTGGCCGGGGCCTATGTCTTAGAGGGTAGTTAATGTTTCTGAGATTGCATTTGTTGGAACAATGTAATCAAATGAAGAAACAAAACCTAGTTCCATTGTTTAGAGCTCAACAGACTGTATTAGTTTGTAAAATAGATTCTGTACTAGTTTACCAAGCTCACCTTAATGCTATTGGTTTAAAGAAAACACTCCCGCTCTCCTTGTCTAGCTTCTAAAACCAGAATTATGCTGTTCTTGGACTAATTTACAAATACTCAAGTTAACATCTATCTAAAGGAATAGCTGTATCTATTAAATAGCTTCTGTGTAGTGATATTCTGATAGTACAGGGCATGGACTTCTTTTGAACTGTTGATTATTTTTCAGAATAAGCATACACTTTTTAAATTTACATTAATTCAGCTAGTGCATTATATGCAGCAACATGCAGTAGTGTGCCTTTACTCTGGGGGGAAAAGCCACATTCTCTTGTATTTATCTTATAATTAAGTAATGTCATTCTCCTCAAAGAGCCTTCTGTCCTTTCCTAAAAAAAAATGCCCCTAAGTCTGCACCAAGTATTTCAGTGAAAGCTTTTTAACGGTCTGTTAATAAGTCTGTGTATTTGTTAGCTTGCTGGGTGTGCAAAGAGCTCCTGAACACAGAAATAGAGTGGGGCTGGCTGCTGTGAGACTTGGAATTGTTCCAAGCAATATCCATCCCAGATTAGTTTACTTAACAGGTTGCCTGTTAAGAAAAATAACTTGCCTTTGTGCTTTTTTTGTTTTCCTGTAAGACTAACTGTTCTTCCTCAAAGACTGAAAAATGTTGAAATGAAAAAAGGATAAATAAGAGAATTAAATGAATTACAGATGCAGCTTGGGAAAATGGAAAGTAATGAAGGGTGGGAGGAAAAAGAAAAGTTGGTTGGGATGAGAAAGAACAGAGGAAGGTGAAAAAGGTAGCAAAAGAAATATTTCATCACTAAGGCAATATTTATAGCAGAACAAGAACAGTGTATGCTGGGTAAATGAACTATTGCTTGAGCTACCAAGCTTTCACAGAACACCATTAAATAGTAATAAGTGTAATATTAGGAGGCCATCTTATCGTTAATTTCTTCCAGTTACACTCATAATTTCTTTTCAGCAGGACTCCAACTCCTAGAATGACATTTTCCGATTGGTGTGTACAATACTGTATAAAGTTATCCTTCTCCTGTACAAACACCTGAAAGAACCCAATCCCCTCGAATGTCCACCATTATGGGATTTAACACCAGTTCAGTGCTGGAGCTCTCAGGACCAAGGACTCACTTGAGAGTGTTGCTTTTACCAGAGTGTGCCTTAGTCTAACACACTGTGCTCTTGTCTGACCTGTAGGGATTGAGTGCTGTTAATTATTCACTTGTTTAGCAAGGGCCTATGTTCATTAGTGAAATAATCATATTAATATTTACTTTCCTGGCCAACAAAGGGGCTTCTAAAACTAGTTATGCCTTACTCTACCACATACATAAACAAAACTAAAATCAATATGACTTAGCATATGCTTTACTTTCAGTTACCATAAGCTTTATAACATTATCAGGTTTGATAGAAGTTAAGTGATCCCAGTTATATAAAGTTATCACACTGGTTCTTACAGACCTTCTGTAATCCCATTTTATACCTTTTCATCTATATCTGGAAGCTTGCCCAATTTTTGAAACCAGTTTTATTTACAGAATTTGTATATAGCTGTAATTTAACTTAATTTGCTTTTTCCAGATAGTTCAGTTTTTAACTTGCGTTTCAAACAAATCACAACTTCTAGGCACAAAAATAAAGGACCAAAGGGATAAAACTAAAGCAAAGTAAACTAGTAGTGGGGCCTGAAGTTAATAATATTTTAGTATGAGGAAGGAAGTAACATGAGCAGCATTTGCATTGACTTTTGGAAGCCTCAAATGTCTGCTTGTAAAAATATTTGACACAGAATTTCAGAATTTTTTTTTCAAGAAAACTATCTTTGGTTATCCCCCTTTGTGGGTGGAGGCAATGAGAAAGATACCTCTTCCCTTTGTGTGCTATTCATTATTAAAGATATAAGTATTTTTGTGAGCAAAGCCTGCTAGAGATGTTTTCCATCTGCTTTGGACATKCAAAGGCCATTCTTGTCTGAGTACAGCTGCTCTTCAGAGGAGGGTCTTTTTTTAAGAGATGATTCCCGTGACATACTTGCTTTATGTATTTGTAATCCTCTCACATAAATATTATGTCAGCACAATTAGTAAGATCAACATATTTCATGTCAMTAAGTATTCCTTATGCAAGATACATTTGAATTGATTTACTAGWCTTACAATAGCACTTCCATCTCTTTTCTTTCTATCTAAAGAATAACTCTGCAACAAAACATTCCTGTAATGGAAGAGCCTTTTCTTCTAGATAAAATAGATAGAAGTGTTTTGCTTTTCACATAGCTAAAGGGAAAGATAGCGAGATGGCACAGTCACTGTATTTCATGACTTCTCATATTAACTTCTGGTACTGAGTAGTGCTTTACTAAAAAGTTTCTAAATTGCTGACCCTTAGCAAAAGACAGTTCAACGAGATATTTTTTAGTGATGTAACCTGAAAAAACCCTGAATATTCTCCCATAATCTTTTTGAAACCAAGRTATTTTTAGTTTAGAAGCTTCAGGCAAAAAGTATTGAAAGGAACCTATCAAGACACTTATTTTGACAGTTCTTTTTATGAAAAAAAATCAGAATTTGCTTTTCATTTTACTTGAAAATATAATATTAGGTTTTGCACAGTCAAAACTGTCCATTTGCTGACTATTGCTAATGTCAATGTTCTTGCAAGYTGCTTTTAGTAAGTAAGCTTCCCATACCACTAATGACTTTTCAGTTCCATTAGTCTGCTGTATATTATTGATTTCAGGCATTATTGATTCATGCTGTAAGTAGATTTATTTATGTTCCTAGAGAGTAAAGGATTGGCACCTCTGGTGATGAATGGTATCTCACTGCTTGCTTTGGTCAGTTCCTTGCTGACTCCTTCCCTTCTTCTGCTCTAATCTGTCCCCTTGTTTATATTTTTTTCTAATACTTAGCTAAATGTTAGATGCGTTCTGTCCTCCTTCACTGTAAGAGAAATTTGCACTAAACTTTGAAAAGTATGAAGTGGTACAGAAATGGAAAACTCATGCATGTACAGGGGTCTTTTTTTTCAAAGTTAACAGGGTAGTGTTTCATGTTCATTACTCCTTGCAGAGCCCCACTCTGCCCATGGCTGCTCCTGCTCTGCAGGATCACAGGCTGCTGCTGGCACTGTGCAGGCTCTTCAGTCACTGAAGCAGCTCCTTATCTYATCATTTCCAGCTTCCAGAGCCCAGATACCCAGGTGCCCAGATGTGTGGGATAAGTTGGATTTCTCACGATTCACTCAGGGCAGCATGGTATGCTTTGTGTTTGTGATCAAGCCCCATAAACTCAGATCCAGCTCTCCAATCTCTTGAATCCAAAGATTATGAACTTTGGCTCCTTTTATCTTTTAAACTAGTAACTTGTTACATTGTGTGTTCTTGTAGTTATCATCTCGTCTGCACTTTTGAATTACTTTGTGTTGAATATCTAAATTCAGCCATCAGYACCTCTGCTCAGTACAGGTGATATATCTTTGGCTGTTCTCTGCATGCTGCTCTGTAGCTGAATGATAGCTCATGTCCCTGCAGACTACAGGTATTTTACTCTGTAATAGAGTATATAGCTCAACACCTGCACTTTTAAGTCCCTTTCTGTTGCACAGCTATAATTGACTTCATATTTTGCTATCAGCACTGATAATCTACACCATTTTTCAAAGTCAGGGTTTTTTAAGTACTTAAATGGCATTTTGGGGAAATCTTACGCAGTTCCAGGTTACAAAATGTCTGTGAGATTGTCAATCAAGTTACTTCTCAGTTTTGAGAATGTGCCACCTCCATCAGCTGTGTGACAGAAACACAAATATCACATGCCTATGTAAATAGAGACTTGGAACTTTCATATAAAAGTTAGTGCAGGTGATTCTAAAAGCAGAGTTATAGAAGTTTTAAATGTACCTGGTTTCATATGTTGGGGTGGTGGTCTTCTGTTAGACCTGTCACCTAACAGCCATTATTTTTCTGCAAGGAGACAGAATGAAGCACTCTGTATGAAGTGGAGAAAAAGTTCCTCAGCTGGGGACAGGTGGCTAAAAAGGTTTTCCTTCCTGTGAAGGAAAAAGATTGAAATTAATTTAAATAGACTGAATAGTTTCTATCTTTTGGTAAATAARTTGTATCCTGAATTTAAATAGTGTCAATCTTCTGCCTCATGCAATTCTAATTATAAGAAAACAAAATGCAAATTATTCCTCAGAGTTTAGTTAGATAAGTACCCTGCATAAAAGATCACTGGCATCTTTGACTCCTATGGATGTACTTGTAGAAAAGTACATTAAGTAACCTCACAATAAATATACAGGTCGAGTTCCAGAACCAGGGCTCCAAAATGCATGTGCACAGATGATCATTAAAGGACTAAAATACTCATCTCCCCATGAGTGGATGTGTTTCTCATATATCCACAGCTCTGCTGGCTACCAAAAATTAAGAACCTGGCCCCAGTGGAATAGTTGGAGAATGAAAAATACCCTCTCTGAAGCCTCCCCTTCATTATTTTTTGATGTTCACTGAATCATGATGAGTCTTTTACTGCTGTAATCTCTAATAAGCAAAGGTAAGAAATTCAGAAGCACCATAAAAGTACAAGAAAAGCCTGAGAAACAGCAGTGATAAACTATTTCCAGCACAGTGACTGTATTCCATTACGGTGATAGATTTTTAGTTCTATTCAGCCTCTCCATTCTTAAGCCTAATTCTCATACAGAAACCATGTTCTTAAATCTTCAGGTAGTCTGGGTGCTTCAGTTGCAGGTATTTCTCCAGAACGTAAAATCTCAGTTCTGATCACCAAACCCTAAAAAGCTGAGCTTTCACTAAAACTATCTGGGATATTAAAAAAATAAAATGTTTAATTAAATTTGGTGAAGCAASAATTCATTTTAAGAGGAATAATTTCTCTTCCAATAATTAGAAGAAAGGAAGAAAAGGAAGCTTGGGTCTCAGCTGGTTCATTCTGGCAGTTCTTTTGAAAGGCACTTGCATATCATGAAGAGGGTTGCTAAGCTGAGCTGAAAACTGGTTTTGTAGTATGACTGTGTTTTAAATTATACAAAGCTGTCCAAGAGAGGCTGTGTTAGCTTTCAGATTTCTGTGCTTGTGCTCAAGCTAAAGAGCAATTTGGTTTGGACCAAAATAACTTCATGGTTCAGACTGCAGCCTTTCTTCTCCCAGACGTCTTCATTGACAACTTGAAACTACATTCCTACCTGCATCCTGAATCCTTTTAGAAACCCACAAAAGCCCCATCAATGTTTGATTTAGATCACTGAAATATGGGTTGAGAAGCACAGATTTGCTAAGATTAATGCTGTTTGAGACTGAAAGAGTATTTTAGGGAAATCTCATCATATTCTTGCACTCTTTCCTGGCATGTTGCTTTCAGTCGTTGGATGTGGATTAGAGACAYCTTTGGACAGACTCAGAATGGTCATTCTCATACTCTAGTTTATGTTCAGAAAATAGCTCTGGGTTTCTTTGATATTGAACTTAAGAATGCTGCCATGAGGTTTTTTGTTCATGGAGTAACCACCTACAGTCATTGKTGACTCACTGCATATACCAGTGCAGACTGAGATCTCTGCTGTTGTCTAACGATGGTAACAAGTTCTGATTGCTACCCAAGGACATTTCTTTATGAACTGTGAGATAAATAGCCCTGCTCTCTCCCTCTGAAAGAAACCCAAGAAAGCAACTGTGCTACAAGTCCATGAATTTGAAAACAGAGACTTTGTGGGCTTTTAAATATGTCTATAGTCAGGAATAAAATAGCAAAAGTTCGTACTGGTTGCATGGTTAGGATGTTTTGAGCTTCATTTAAATTTGTGAAGACAGAAGTGACTAATTCTGTTTTCCTCTGCTTCCTGACAATTACATACTATAAATGAACACCAAAAAGGTAGCATTCTCACCTCTTGGGTCAAAGGCAGCAGCAAAGCTTTTTTTTAGTAAAATATATGTGTAATAAGGGCAAAGATTTATTTTTTTGGCTATATAGAGTTTTGTTTTGGTGGGGGGAACAAGAGATTATAAGAATAATTATTAAATTACATGTTATAACTGAAACTGTAAGGAGGGGCAGAGACACACAAAGAAAATGTCTTTGTGATTGGGGAGAAAAGCCTCTAAATGTCCATTTTTATTGAGGTGTTCTGTGGCCTTAAGTCCTACCRCTGAACCTCTATTTAGAAAAGAGCACATTAATTTTTCTCCCTAGGAAAAGAAGCAGCTGAGTCATTCATTCAGAGGTGAGATAAGGCCTGTCTAAATCCAATGCTCCTCATCATGAATCCATTTGTTTATTACACAGGGAGAGGTCAGTCACTCCCTACTGGTAACATCCTTAACTTTCAGTTTGTACAAGAAGGAAACTCTGTGATGGTGTGCAAAATAGTCCAGGTGTTCTGGGGACTAAAGCCTATATTCAAGGCTGTATRTTAATGTGTTTTCTTGTTTTAAGCACATTTGTAGCTGTCTGAAAGAGCAGAAAGAGGGTGCTGCCCAGCTTTCCCAATCACATATATGAATTTCATGACATGATTTCAGTGAAAAGTTCTTACAGTAAGTAGATATGCCATGTTTGTCTGCTGGGCAGTAAAATTATCACCCAATTATGTTTTTGTGGTTTGCAACATCATCTGCAAGTCATGAGCAGGAATGCCAGTTCTGAAGGGAGTAAGCAGAAACATAAAACTWAAGTGAGAAACTGTAGCTTGACTTTCTGAGGATCAGTGCCAGTTTTTATCACTTTATATGGGTTTGCTTTTCAGAGGCCTGTTTATTTAGAAGGCTTATTCTTTTGCTTTTTAAACTCAGAAAACCATTTTCAGCTGCTCACTTTTTTACTAAAACAAAACCCTGATGTTTTCTTGTAGTCATACTGAATTATTCACAAGTTCATCACGAAAAAATTTAAGCAGAGTGTATTTGTTAAGTGAATTCATGGCATGACCAGAAAATGAAAGTCCACTATATTTGCATTATTCTCGTGCTTAGAAATGTTAGGCAAGTCAAAACATGATCCCAGCATAGAATAAAAAGTCTCTGCTCCAAAGAGCTTGTGAACGAGGTATAAGGAGACAAGAAATGGAGCTGTACTTGCAGGAGGTGGGGAGGTACAATCAGACAATATAAATCAGTGGTGTCAACAGGGCCAGCAGGCTCTATGTGCCTGCAGCCTAGCTATTGTCATTGTSTCTTGCTGCCACTGCCACCAGCATGCAGAGCTGCATGGAGACAAGCAAACCATGCATGGTGGAAACTGTGTTCAGTGAATGATGGAAATGGGCATCACTGGCTGACAGGATGAGAGAGTTGGCAAGCCAGAGCTGTCTGAAAGATGATAGCTAAGCTGGAGATGGAGAATCTATCACGGTTTCTAGAAGTGAAACCCAAAATTTATATCTGATTTAAGAGAGGAGAGTGGAGAGTTGTCAAAGAAGGGGATGAAGGGAAACAACATCCTGCCCCAGTTCCTGAAAGCACTGAGCACAGTCTAGAACAGCAAAACAGGGCACTGCCAATGGCTGGAAGCTGCTCAGCCTGCTTTTTAGTGCAGCAACAGAATTTTCTCCCACCAGTGGTTTGACAATTGTGATTTGCATTTCTCCCCCCCTACATAACCACTTATGGTGTTTCTATAAACGACAGGATTTCTTTCACAGGGATGTTGTGAGACAAGACAGTTTGTGCCAGAAGAAAAAAAATTGGACAGCCACCAGGGCAGCATATGTATTCTCTGCAGATCATTTGTGGACAATAGTGCTATTTTCTAAGGAGAAAGATGATAATTCTTTAATGTCAAATGACGCCACACTTTGTTTACCCTCTGGTTATCATGAACTATTATTTCTCAAACATCAGGGTTTTCATTTTGATTGCTGTGTGTGGGTACAAATTGCTTCATACTGTTCTTCTTTCCATAGTCTATTCACCAGAGATCTGTCTGTCTCCATTACTGTCTTCTGTCTTTCCCAGTAAGATATTTCTGCAGCCCCTCCCATGAGAGGCTGGAGTCATTGAGTTCTTTCTATTTCAGAAGTAACTTCCACATAAACAAATGGGACTAAAATCTCACAATCAAAAACCAAAYGGTACCAGTAGTTCTTCCTGTAAGCAGCACAAGTTTTCTCCCAGTGCTGACCAAATCCTGGCACTGCTGTCTGCCACTGGCTACAGTGTGCACTTCTAGTGGTAGCCAGCACTTCAGTCTGAGGGGAAAAATGCTTGATACAATTTCTCTGCAATTTTATTTCTCACCCCTTCTCTGTCARTAATCCTTCTCTTATTGGAGTGATATCGTATTTGGGAAACACACAGTTCTGCTGTGTCTCTGCATGAGCAAATCTTTCACAGCRCATGCCTTTCATAGTGCATTCAGCAAAAATGACAAAGCAGCTTAGAGACCACCATATGCTGATCCCACATTTCAGCCCACTGTAGACTGAGTTGTCTGTGAGAGAGACAATGGTTTATTGAGGAGAGGAGAGTAACAAGAGCAGTTTTCTTTAAGTTTTGTATGTAATTATTGCCAACAAGATAGGAGGGTCTTTTTTTTTCTGCAATGATACAGCAACTTTTCAATCATTTTTTAAATACGATTTCTCCCTGCCTACAGTAGACGCTAAATTGCACCAACACAAACCTCTCTAGTTCACACATGTGAGAAGGTGAGAGCTCTTATTTAGGAATGGGAAGTAGGGAAGCTTSCAGCTGAAGTTGTTTGAAGAGAGTTTGGCTAATCAGAATTCCTTGGTGAAGGGTAGGCTTGAACAGAGGGAAAGTCATAGTAGGCAGGGAAGGATGAACCTGAGAGCTCATCACAAATCAGGGTCAAGAGGCTTTTTCTGGAGGCACTAAAATCCAACTTGGCTGGTCTTGAGAGCTCTTTGTGCAACTATTTTGTGCTCAGATTCTGTGGGGAAGGACCACAGGGGAGAGAGGCAGGCTGACCTKTTCAAGCTACCTGGCCTTGAAGCCATAAACCCCCAGAGTAAGCTGGAAACACAAGTGGGGGTACTAAGGCAGAGCAGCTGCTGGATTGTCCCTT